GGTTCCAGTTGGTGCCCGTTGCCCCTTGTCCTGTCCCTGGGCACCACTGACCAGAGTCTGGCCCCAGCCTCTTGCCCCCCGGGGCCCTTTAGCTCTTGCTCAGCACTGATCAGATCCCCTCTGAGGCTTCTCTTCTCCACTGAACAGCCCCAGGGCTCTCAGCCTGTCCTGGCACAGAGATGCTCCAGCCCCTCAGCAGCTTCACAGCCTCTGCTGGACTCTCTCCAGTAGCTCCTTGTCTCTCCTGAATTGGGGAACCCAGAACTGGACCCACTACTCCAGATGTGGCCTCACTGTGGCAGAGCAGAGGGGGAGGAGAACCTCCCTGACCTGCTGGCCACACTCTTCTTCATGCAGCCCAGGAGACCACTGGTCTTGGTCACAAGTGCACGTGGCTGGCTCTGGTCTTGGTCACAAGTGCACGTGGCTGGCTCAGGGTTAACCTCTTGTCCATGAGGAACATCAGGTCCTTCTCTGCAGAGCTCTTTCCAGCAGGTCACCCCTCACCTGTACTGATCCAGGGGGTTATTATTCCTCCCCAGGGGCAGCACCCCCAAGCTGAGGAGACACGTGGTGTCTTTCTCATTTCTCCTGCTGAGATCCAGGAGGGCTCTTCCCTGCTGGGGCCAGGGTTGTGTCAGGTCTGTGAGGAGCTGAGCTCCTGCAGGGCTGTTCTCCCTGTGGCCCATGGTGTACCAGCAGAGGCAGAGCTCCCTGAAATCATCCTCTTGGCTCAGGGGGAGGTTGCTGGTGGCCTCATCTCTGGGGTTATAGAAGGTTTTGGCAGTACCTGGAGCTCTGGGAGCAATGCTCTGACCTTTGTCTTGGTGAGTGCTGTTTGGGTGTAGTTTAATTTAGGGATTTAATTAAGGACTCGAGTGACTCATTTGGGCCAGAAGCTGTTGTTGGTGGAGCGAGGTGGTGGTAGGTCTGCTGGGTGGTGGGGCCTGGCTGAGAAGACTGGGGAGGGTGATTTCATCCTTTTCTCTCACCAAATCATCAAAAAGCAGAAGAAACTTGGGGTAAAAAGAGCTGAGGGCTCCTTGGAGCTCCGTTTCTAACTGTTAATTGACCTTGTTCTCTAGAGGGATTGCATATCCTGAAAACTGAGGGTTCCCTTCCTCTTCTGGCAGGTCCCAGCACCACCAGGATGTCCCATCACACCATTCACCTTTTCAGGAAGGGACTTCGCCTTCATGACAACCCAACCCTGCTGGCTGCCCTGGAGTCCTCAGAGGTTGTCTACCCTGTCTACATCCTGGACAGGAAGTTCATGACATCCGTGATGCACATTGGCACCCTGAGGTGGCATTTTCTGCTGCAGTCTCTGGAAGATCTCCAGAAGAACTTGACCCAACTGGGCTCCTGCTTGCTGGTCATTCAAGGAGAGTATGAGTCTGTTCTGAGAGAGCACGTCCAGAAGTGGAATATCACCCAGGTGACTCTGGATGCTGAGGTGGAGCCGTTCTACAAGGAGATGGAGGCCAAAATCCAACAGCTGGGAGAGGAGCTGGGCTTTGAGGTGCTCTCCCTGGTGAGCCACAGCCTCTATGACACCAAACGGTACGTGAGCGCCCCACAGCCCTGTGAGCTGCCTCCAGGAAGGCTTATTTCAGATCTAGCCAGCCTCAGGGAGAAAAGACCAAGTGTCTTAGTCCAATTTTCTCAAAAGAACACATTTGGATCCAGAAGGACCATCTGAGATGAACGTGGCACTGTCTGTTGGAGGGTTTTGTTGCTAGAAGTCACAGGAGAGCTCGTGCACAGGGGTTAGGATGCTGGGCTGTGAGCTTAAAGAATGGTCATTTTTTTCCTTTGGGGCATTTTAATTCACTTAATTCCCCACCCCTGGAGGGGTTTCCAAGCTGTGGAGATGTGGGGTGAGGGACACGGGGCAGTGGGGACCTGGCAGGGCTGGGGAAGGGTTGGGCTCCATGATCTGAAAGGTCTTTTCCAACCAAAATGATTCCATGATTCCATGAACTGGGGCTCTTCCAGCCTGTGCTGTCACCTCCCTATCCACTGGCAGCTCCAGCTCCCTTCTTGGTTTATGCTATGGTGAAAAGTGATCTTGTCTGATTCAGGATTTTGGAGCTGAATGGTGGGACTCCCCCACTGACATACAAGAGGTTCCTCCACATCCTGTCTCTGCTGGGGGACCCAGAGGTGCCTGTGAGGAACCTTACAGCTGAAGACTTCCAGTGAGTAAGGGCTGCCAGCAGGTAATGGCAGCTCCTTTTCTCTGCCCTAAAAAAGAGCCAGGGCCAAACAAGGTGTTGTTCTCACATTACTTCTGCTCCTGGGGGGTTCTGGTTGTGTGTCCAGAGGATGTGGCTGCTGTGGGGAGGGGGCAGCAGATGGGAGGTGACCCAGGCCAAAGACTTCAGCCTTTTGCAAGGCACATGGAGAAAAACTTTTAAGATATGGAGAAGAGGAATGAGGAAGGAATTACAGGTCTGGCTGTTCAGGGGATGCTCTGGATTCCTCTCAGTTCAAGGTGTAGATCAGCAGTTGGCTGAACCCCTATAGTTTGATTTAGGCAGGAATTTCAGTGGAATATTCCTACTGTTGCCTCCTGGCTTGAAACCTCTCCTCCCCTCTGCTGTGTGGGAAGTGAGGACTGAGCTCCTGTCTCCCAGGGCTTGAGAAGAAGCTCAGAGTCAAGGATTCCTCTGCATGAGGAGGGGTCAGTGATCCAAAGGGAGGTAAGGCTGGGGCAGGAGAGAGCTGGCCACTGGGAATGGGACTGGAGATACTGGGATGTCTGGGTCAGGTGCCTCCTGTGTGACCTCAGCTCTGTGTTGCTGACCTAGGCTTAGGTCTTCCCATCTTAGGGGAGTCCTCTTGATGTTGTCCTCAGACAGTCCCATGACAAGACCCATGTAAATATTGGGGTAGATCAGTTCCTATATGTTTTTTTCTTGGATTCTTATTTTCTTCACCCTTTCCCCCCTCATTTATTTGCACTTTTAAAAGTAATGGTGCTGAGGGAGGAGCAGTTCACACACTTCCCAGCAGGCTTCTGTTCTGGCACTGCTCTGAGAGCTGCACTGGCCCCTTCTGTAGGTGTCTGCAACAGAGCTGAGCTCACTTTTTTCTGGGTAAACAGAAAGATCTGCTGATCTTGAGTTCATTTGTGGGTTTTGAGAAGCCCACATACCACTGACACTTCCTGAACCACCTTTTCTGTGTTTTACAGGGGGGGGAAAAAACCATCCCCTGGTGGTCTTCCAGCCTCACAGGGGCAGAGGCCCTGGGGAAGCCTCAGCAGTGGAGGCTGCTGGGGACATGTGGGGGGACTGCTTGGGGAGCAGGGAGGTGGCCCAGGGAGCTGATCTGCCCCCTGTGCAGCAAGGGGGGGTCTGGGCTGTGGGGGCTGCAGCCACCTGCTCTGAGTGCTGGCCTCTGGTGGGTCTGGTCCTCTTCCCTCAACTCAGGTGAGCTGGAGCAACTGCAGGAGGAGTTTTCCTTCCCCAGGGAGGGTGCAGCCCGGGGCTCCTGGCTGTGCTTTAGTCCCCCTGTGCTCTGGCTGTGGTGTGACAGAGGAGGGCTCGGTGTGTGTGCTGGGCAGGGCTCTTCCTCCCCACCCTGGCTCCAATTCCCTCGTTGACAGAGACCTCTCCTTCCCAGCAGGAGGGGTGGAGCCCCTGAGCCAGGCCTGGCTGAGCAGTACAAGGTGCCTCTCCCCGTGGATTTGGAGATCCCCCTGGAGAGCCTCTCACCCTGGAGGGGAGGGGAGACCGAGGGGCTGCAGCGCCTGGAGCAGCACCTGACTGACCAGGTCAGCCTTGGCTTCACAGCAGTGGTGCTGGTGGCCCCACCTGGGCTGAGGGTCAGTGTCCCCCTCTTCTGTGTCAGGACCTTGAGGAGCTGCCACCAGCCTGGGCTGCCCCCCCAGCAGCGTGGGCACAGGGCAGGGAGGGGATCCTGCCCCTCTGCCCCCTCTGGGGAGACCCCCCTGCAGTGCTGGGGCAGCTCTGGAGTCCTCAGCACAGCAGAGCCAGGGACCTGCTGGAGCGGGGCCAGAGGAGCCCCAGCCATGCCCCGAGGGGGGAACCCCTCTGCTGGGAGCCCAGCAGGAGAGAGTTGGGCTGGGGCAGCTGAGAGGAGAAGGCTCCAGCTGGGGAGACCTGCTGGGGGCTGCCAGGACTGCCAGGGGCCTGCCAGAAAGCTGGGGAGGGATGTTTGAGCAGGGACTGGTGGGACAGGACAAGGGGGGATGGTTTGAAACTCAAAGAGGGAGATTTAGACTGGAGAGAGGGAAGAAATTGTTGCTGCTGAGGGTGGTGAGCCCCTGGCCCAGGCTGCCCAGAGAGGGGGTCACTGCCCCATCCCTGGAACCATCCCAGGGGAGGTTGGCCGGGGCTCTGAGCACCCTGCTCTAGCTGGGGATGTCCCTGCTCAGGGCAGGGGGGTTGAACTCAATGACTTTTAAAGTTCCCTTTCCACCCAAACCAGTCTGGGGTTCTGTGATTCAACTCTTGGCAGCCAGGCTGCCTTGGTGCCAGCTGCTTTTTAGCAGATTCTTCCCTCACTCCCAACTGCCTGAAGTGGGAAAACTCTTCAGTGTGGTGCTGTTGGACCAAGAGAGCTCCTCCCCATGTTACAGCATCCCTGGGCTCTCTGGGAAGAGCAGAGCTCCAGAGCACCCATGGGTGGGACGTGGCTGGGAGGAGGTCTCTGCACTGGAGCTCTTGGAGGCTCATGGCAGCCTGGCCTCAAGATTTTGGTGTCCTAGTTGTTGGGAGGAGGGATGGTGGGAGTGTTCTCCATGCATGACATCCAACAGCCCTCTGTGCTTGAGAAACCAATTGCCAAGAGGACTTTTTTTTTTTGCTGTTTCTTTTGCACTGCCTGAACTTTGGATTTCTGTTTCCGTTTTAGGGCTGGGTGACAAGTTTTACTAAACCAAGAACAATCCCAAATTCACTGCTGCCAAGCACCACAGGCTTGAGCCCCTATTTCAGCATGGGCTGCCTGTCAGCTCGCACCTTCTTTTACAGGCTGTCAACCATCTATGCTCAGGTAAGGCAACAACTGGTCACAGTGAAGTGAATCCAGCACTTGGAAGCAGCCAGGGAAGCCCAGAAGACCTCCCAAAAGGAGCTCAGGACATCTGCCTGGTGTTTTAAAGTGAAGTTTTTTTTTTTTTTATCAGTTTCAGGCAGTTTTGTTTTTAGAAATCATCTGTTTTCATCTCAGGCCAGTTTGAATTATGGCATGAGCCAAAACCAACTTGTGGAAACTGAGAGCTTAAGGAAGTTTGGTTGAAACCAACCCAAGAAAACCAACCTCTCACCAAACCTACTTCTTAAGAGTATCTCTTGATGTGGCTGAGTCACCCAAGCTTGGCTTGCAAGCAGTTAATATGTTAATAAACACATTTATTGAAGAAATCCCAGTGTGGCACCATTTTGGAAGGTAGCTGGAGAACATTTGAGGCAACATTGAGTTCAACAGAGTTCAGCTTTGCTCTTGGGCAGGCAGCATTGCTTCAGGCCCTTGATTTCTCTGGCTTTCCTGGGAAAGTGCTGTGAAGCCTGTGGCACAGTTACATGAATCTTTATTTCATGGACAGTCACAAAACTAGTGAGGTGCAGATGAACTGAAGCTTCCACCTCCCGTGTCTTTTGCAGGCCAAGCATCACTCTCTGCCCCCAGTGTCTCTCCAAGGGCAGCTTCTGTGGAGGGAATTCTTCTACACGGTGGCATCAGCAACCCCAAACTTCACCCAAATGGCTGGGAACCCCATCTGCCTGCAGATCAGGTGGTATGAGGATGCAGAGAGGCTCCACAAGTGGAAAACGGTAACTGGAGGCATTGCCACCCCTGCTGCGTGCCCGTGTAGGGTTTTTCTGTTGCCTTGGCATTGGTCCCTGCTGTCTCCTGGAGGTGAGGCTCACGGCAGCAAGGAGCAGAGAAGTGTGACAAAACTTGGTGCCAAAGGGCAAGGAGGAGGACCCAGGAAACTGCAGGCCAGTCAGCCTCTCCTCCACCCCTGGGGAGGTGGTGGAACAGCTCCTTCTGGAGGTCCTCTCTAAGCATGGGGAGGAGAACAAAGGTTATTTGGAGTGGTCATCATGGATTCACCAAGGGGAAATCATGCTTGACCAATCTACCTGTGGTGGCATGGCTGGGTAGATGAGGGGAGAGCAGTGGAGGGTGTCCACCTTGACTTTAGCCAGGTTTTTGAGACATCTCCCCTAACATCCTCAGAGGGAAGCTCAGAAGTGTGGGTCAGATGGGTGAGGTGGACTGAGAACTGGCTGAAGGACAGAGCTCAGAGGGTTGTGATCCAGAGTGCAGAGTCTTGTTGGAGGCCTGTAGCTCGTGGTGTTCCCCAGGGGTCAGGACTGGGCCCAGTCTTGTTCAGCACACTCACCAATGACCTGGCAGAAGGGACAGAGTGGAGCCTCAGCCAGTTTGGTGGTGACACAGAGCTGGGAGGAGTGGCTGACACACCAGAGCTGTGCAGCCCTTCAGTGAGACCTGGACAGGCTGGAGAGCTGG